ATATATTTTAAAATGATGAGAATGCAATGTTTTTCTCTTTTTCCAAAACTAGAAACCTCAACTTTAACAAAAATAATTTTAAAGTTAAAATCTTTTAGAATTAAACATTTAAGACAGTAAGCAGCTTTGATATGACTGAATTTTTTGAGACCATTTTATTTCTAGTTCAAATTTAGGCACAGCCAGGAACAAAACCAGGGAAAAATATTTTATTTCAAAAATGGGAAAAACATGCAACGTGTTTTAAGCTTTCTCAGGGTAGTGAGTCACAACATTCTATTTTAGGAGGTGTCCATGGTCTGTACAGACTCCTCCAGCAGCTCCAGGTCAATTGGAGTTACAGCCTTGGTCAGGACACCCGTAGTTCCCTGTTTGTACTTGTAGTCGCCGGTTCTACAAAGAGATACATGGAATAAAGATTTCCAATTAAAAAAAACAAAAACAAAAACCCCAGAGCTTATCTCTTCCATGTAACAAGTCTGTGCTGGCGCTCATTTAATACACGTTTCGTTTTTATTAGCACAACATGCCACTTCATCTAAAGCACACTGCCATGCACATTAGTTAGGCGAAGTCACACTAAGCAGGCCCAGTGGACCCAAATCAGAAATGTGGTTAGTAGTCCACTCAGGTAAAGGTGACAGACTGTTAGGCTTGGACTACAAAAAATGCACTCTGTATACTCACAGCTGTAAGGCTTCAAGCTCAGTGACTCTTCAAGCAGAACAAGACAACAATTCAGCTTCTGATTATCAAATGCTGCTTGTCCACATGTCCAATTTAACACAAGTGTACAAGTGCAGCAGCTAAATATCTTGAATTCTCAGGTCTCATAGTGACTCACAGTCCCAAATGAGAATTTATTAAAGGAACAGAACTTTCACTGTTCTTTACAATCCATTTGACTTGTGTTGGTCAGACATGAAGCAGCAGCATCTGCTCTTACAACTGGCTGCATTTGAGTGCTCAACGCGAATTGTGTGACAACAACCTCAACTTTGAACTGAAAACCCCCCAAATATGAGACGTTTTAGTTCCCCAACACAAGAAACAACATGCCTCGAGTTTGCGTTCACCACGTAATCACAGTTAAGCACAGGGTATAAAATAAAACAATAATTCATTGTTCGTTCATTTCAAAGGGATGGAGCCTTTCCAAATACCATCAGTCTATGACAATGTTAAAATGCAGATGGCAGCAATCACACATGCAGGACTAATGATTAATAACTCCAATAAGGTGACAAAAAACAAAACAAAAAGAGTCCTGGGTTTAAACAGTGACCAGAACTTGACAGCTGCCTCATAATGGATCCCCTCTGTGTGATGTCTGGGTGCAAGAACAGACATGGCTCTTTACAGAAAGACTGGCTTTTTTATTGCAAACTCAAAACCAGCCAAGAGGTGATTAAAAAACTGATGCCAATGCAATGTAGGAAGAACACTGGCAACCACCAGCTCGACTCCTCAGCCTCTTAGTAGAGACACCTATGGTATCAATTTGGAAATACTACATCACTGTGTTCTTAAGTTATCACGTTGAGAAGATTTTCAGAAAACTTACTCTGACCTTGAGATCAAGGTCACAGATTCAAACTCATCCGAGACTTTTGGCAGATGCACATAATCAATTTGAAGCGCCTACGTTATCACATTCACAAACTTAAGTGTCCACGCCACCCACCTGCCGGGCGGGGTGAGGACAACACCCCATCAGTCTTTTACAGCCGAGGGGTAAAAATTTGTAGTGGCCTGTTAAGGAGTACGTTTAGCAGAAGAAAGTTGTGTGAAAGTTGTTCATTTAGATACTTGTAAGGCTGCTTTTAGGGTCACAGCTTACCCCCTTAGTATGAGGAAAATAAACTTTGTGTCACTTCCTTCAGGCTGAGCAGGAGTTGGGGAGACAGAATCTGTAGTTATATTTAAAAACCAGAATTCAGAATTAACTCATCTGTTTCTGGGACTGAAAACTCCCAGAAAAACATTTCCATCAGCTCTGGATTATCCAACTCACGTCATCATGGTAACAATCTCAGGAAGGGATGAAATGCAGATGCTAATTCAAAAGCTAAACTATCGTTTCTGAAGCATTATCGTTCTTACCTGACACCTTTCTTGTTGGCCTCATCATGTGGTCTGATGTAGTTCACTTTGTTCTTGGTGATGACACACAGGTCGATGTT